CAGTGGAAATTGAGGGGGCGCTTATGGAAATAGATGAAAATCGAGGGGTTCTTATGGGAAATTATTTTAATAATTAAAAATTCAAGAGGCACTTTTTGAATGAAAAAAAAATTATATAAGGACATTACGAATGGTGGTTAGAAAAGATAATCGTCCAGTAAACATGGCTCATAACAAGAATGCTTGAATATTTACATAACAGCAAAATAGCAGATGCAATTAGTGGTGGGTAGTGGTTAGCTTGTTGGCCATCGGCCGATTGAGATTAGCAGGATGGCAGGATCATTGTATTTTTCTTGAAAACTCAGATGAGAATGTGCTTAAGGTCGAAAAAAGTAAAAGAGGAGTAGGACTAGACATAGATAAATATGTAAAAAGATTGAAGTTAGAAATATACTGTCTATCCAGGGATCGGAGCTCTCATCTGTCCAAGAGAAATATACTTATTTTGATACTTACTGAAGAAGAATGTGTTTCCACTCTACAGCTCAAATCATGTCAACAACCACAGTCCCAGGATTGTTTGGATTATTGACTTGCTAAAAAGAAAATCTTATGAGGGGGCGCTTATTCAAACGGGGCTCTTAAGGAAATTTTCACGTTAGGAGGGGCGGTTATTCGAGAGGGGCGGTTATTCAAACAGGGCGCTTATTCGCGCGAGTACGGTATTATTATTATTATTATTAATGTCACAATCAATCACAGGGATGATGGGCTATACATATGCGTTGATTCTTATAACCTTATTAAATTTTTTTATTCCAAAATTACATCAAAAAGCGAAAACATATTTTAATTATTATTTTTATTATTATTATATATTACATATATTATTTATTTATTATAAAAAAAATAAAATACTGAGAAATTGAAAAGATATCTAATTAGCGTATAATACCGTACTCGCGCGAATAAGCGGCCTGTTTGAATAACAAATAATAATAATAATAAATAATAATAAATAATAATAATAAATAATAATAATAAATAATAATAAATAATAATAATAATAATAATAATAATAATAATAATAATAATAATAATAATAATAATAATAATAATAATAATAATAATAATAATAATAATAATAAAAATAATAATAAGAAGAACTTAACAGTGTACAGAACGTTATGGCGCAGCCGATTTAATTCCAGTCCCTCTTTGATTAATACTTAGACAATGCAAAAAGTTTATTTTTTGCAATCACTTTATATCATAAAAAATATTTTCTCCCCTGACCTTCGCTATGGCTCACGATGGGAAGGTCTGGGTCCGCGCCTGAGTACGCTCCCACTGGGCGTCTACCTTTTAAATAGCGTGAGAATATAGTACTGTACTGTCAGTCAAGGCAATTCAATTGCCTGTATTACTGACGCAATGTAGGACACACATCGCGTCAGTACACACACAAGCAGTGTCAACACGTTCCATAAACACCTAGAAACGCTTCTATTCCTTGATTTGAGCTTTAGGAAAAAGTGCATTGACAACAATACATTTTCCATTTTCCAGGTCAGCGCGGTGGTCAGCTGTTAGTGCTCTTGGTGCAGGGAGAGGGATTGTGTTGCCTTTGGCTTGGCTATAACGCATCCTATTGTTATTGCATAGCCTAGACCTAGTCACAAGTTTTCAGGAAGAATATTGTGCTTGTCGATTGAATCTGAGGCAAGACTCTCAAACAACTGTTTTTTAGTTACTGTATAGAGCCTAAAACTCCTAGGCCTACTACGAACGATACTTACGTCGTACGTATGCAAACTTATCAAACAGTCATCGGGCGCAAGTTTGAAGTAGTACTTACTACTAGCCTAGTAGGCTAGATATTCGCTCTGCACAGCATTTCACCATTATAAGGGGATCAAGCCCAAGGCCTAGACCTACTCTTCTTACTACCTTAGCCTAAGGCTTAGGGGTTTAAAACCAACTTCACTGCAAGGAAGTGAAAATGGTAAGAGGCCAGAGTGTACGCTTATTCAAAAATTAGTTATAATATTTAGCCTATGTCATACACAGTGATTTAATTTTTTTAGGTCTATGTTTACTGTTGAATCTAAACTAAAGGCATCACAGTCTTGACGAGCCAGAAATGAATGCCAAGCAAGGCAGTTGTTGCTTCATTAGCTTTAATTAATGAATTGTACATGCTGATACAATGAAATCCATGAACAAGCTTTAGACCTTGGACTTATTGTTATGGTATGTAGCGAAGACCCGTATTTATTTGGTGGTTTTCTGCCCGGATCTTGAGCGGATGAGGCTCAGCTATGCAGTGACTAGAATGAAGATGCTGTATAACAAAACATGCACTATCTAACTTTTATTTCCCTGCCACATCATCGTACAGTAATAACGTGATTAACAGAAAAAGAAAGCCCTGAAAGTAAATAATAACACCATTGCATCAACTCGACGGATTTAAATCATGATAGTACTTCCATTATGAATAAACAACCAATTTTTCAAAAGCTGAAATAAAGATTTAAATAATAACATTGTATTACACTAGGTTTCACATAGCATAGGATAACAAGCACTGCTTAACGATAACTATTGATGGTTATCGCATTCAGTACTATATTTAAGTCAGATTCTGTATATTATCTGTACGAAATACGTATTATTAGAATGTTACAAACTACTTACAAAATAAGCAACTGCATTTAACCGCATCTTTGGTGATGACAAAGAAACCAGACGAATAACACTGTACTTTTACTTGTTTACAACTTCTTCTGCCGCGCGAACAACAGGCTCAGTACATATACCATTGAGAAATCTGTATGCAAATTGCCATTGCATTTGCTAAATGCAAAATACACTAGATCTGCATTGCTGTCTGTTGCATACTCACTCATCCATGACATTATGGCAATTTGAAGGCTAAATGCAGGCTTGATCCAAGTAAGTCATATAAAAAGGACGAATTCCGACGGAGTCTTTTATACACCCGACATACAAAAAATTGTCCGGAAACCTTCTCAAACTCGGGGGTTGTCTTATACGCAGATCGCCTTATACTCGAGTACATACAGTGAATATAACTATATTACTATAAGTATACATTATACTGAAATAGTGTATACCTCAAATTGTTAACGTTTATAGCACCGACAGTATAGTTAATATAAAACCGTGCAGGTGTAGTTTGCATGGCTTGCCAATTCATTAGGTGGGCCAATCAGAAAGGATTATGTTACAGCAAACTATACACTTCCAAAATAGTGAAAAAGTGTCTTTTCTGCTTATTAAAGGCAACAGGAATGGACCAAGTGATGGGCCTAGGAATGTCTGCAGGGGGAATTCTTATCTTTATTTACTATTCTGTCTGGATTTTGATACTGGTAAGATTCATGGTATTGTGTACAACTAATAAACTATCAATTTTTTTTCTATTCTGTACTACTATGTGCATGTATATTATTAGCATAGACAAAAGTGTATACTGTAATATAAGCAAGTAGCCGATCCTCACACTATACATTGTATAATGAAAGTGTACCAATTCATTTTTAGTTATTTTGTCACACTACGAACCACACTGATATCATTCATGTTCAAAGGAACACGCAACACAGCACGTCGTGAAAGAAAAGCATGCTATCAAATCCCTCTCACCACATGCATTTCACTGCAATTTTCCCATGTCATTATGTTATAGCCATTTGTTGAAGAGAAGCCATTTTATTAAACAGTTTTATTCAACTTCTGCATGCCTTTCACCAATTCATTAAATCAAGCTACGTTAATATGTTTTTTTTTTCCATTTCTTTAGCCATTTGTTGAGACAAGCCATGTTATTTATCAATTTTTCCTACCAAGGGCGTATGCTGTAATCATTCCAGTCATAGCCGGAGTATGCCTCCTTACCATTTTATGTGCGTATATGTTCTAAAATCTTTTTTAAAACAACTTATTTTTAGACCAATTACATTCACGTATAAGATCATGTCAAAAACTAGAATTTAAAATAATAATTAAACCAATTCATTTACTTACGGAATTCATTTTGAATATGGAAGTGAAAAAGTGTCTTTAATAGGTCCATGGTTTTATGTTAACAACCACTCAAATAAACAAGTGTCTTATCTGTATCATTCTAATTAGAGACCAAAGTTGCTAAAGCAGGGAAACTCTGGGTCCCAGAAGCAGCCTTTAATAAGAGGGACCTGTAGAAACCCACCCCTAACTCACTGAAAGAAAAAAAAAAGGGTTTTTTTAGCTTTTTTCTTGACAAATTAAAAAACAATATGAGTGAATTTATCTTTATTTTTTGCCAGATGCCCTCCAAATTAAAGTTGTTGTCTGATGTAAGATATTGCCATTCTAGGCCTTTGTGGGTTATTTATATTCCATCTGATGAGTATTTTAAAAAATAAATGAATTTAAAAAAAAAACTTTTCCACCCAAACCTGTTTATCATTTTTAAAAAAAGAAGGGCAAACAAATAATTTATTTTATGGTTTCTGAAACTTGTGCATGGGCAAAATCCTGTGTGTGTGTGGGTAATAGAACATTCATCTTCTTTTCTTTTTTCAGGTATATTTGCTGCTTATATTCTATTTGGAAAGAAGAAAAAGAAAGAATAGAATTGTTTGAAATTTTCAGGAACTGTAACATTAATCATTTTTATGTTGCATTTTTTAAATTGTGGACAATTTATTTTTTTAATAAAAAACATGGTGTCCTTTTTTTTAAAATTTTTATTCAGTTCCAAAGTAACATAACATACTGTACTGGGGGGGGGGGGAGATGCAGATGTGTTACAGATGGTGGGATCGCACCCCCTAACTTGTATTTAAGAAAAATAATTTGCTGTATTATTCTATTGTTGATATGAATTACTGGCAAGATTTGTAAGGTATGCGAGTGCAATTTCCAAGCACCAGAGATCCATATGCTCAAAATGTTCACACCATGGTGGGGCTGAGATGGTGTGGACTCTCACGCACCACCTACTGCCAAATCCTGCATCCACCCTACCTGTACTGTGCAATGTTATAACAATGGTTTAATATTCGAAAGCTAGAAGACCAATTTCCAGTGGGTTCCTTAGGCTTAGTATATGAAATCAAATGTATATGAACGTTGTAGACCCAGTGGCTAATCAGTGCAAAACATGTTTATTATTTATTATTATTATTATTGATGGTAGAATACAGTAATAAATATTGTATTATGTATTTCATTTACTTAATGACCATATTATGTAATTAAATTTGAATGACAATCAGCTGGTATTCATATTTTTTTGTGTGTTCAATTATGGTAGGGTAGTGTTGTATGACAACTGTTTGCAGATAATATGCAATCTGGAACATGGGCAAATAGTTGTACATAGTGGCGCAGTCATTGGTAAAAATCGCTATGAGCACTCCAGGTGAAGTCTATTACCAAGGGCTTAGCTTAACATAGTTGTGTGCTATCTCAGCTGCATTTTCTATAATCTAAACAACTACAGCTCTTGTAAAACATATAGAGTGCTGAATTATTCTTTAGTATTATATATGGTACAATCACCTTTTGGAGTTATGAAAACAGGAAGACAAGTACAATATAAAACAAAGAAATGAACACAACATGTAAAACAATCTTAGTACATTTAATGTTGTCAAGAAAGATTTCAATGAAGTAATGAACAGAAAATGTAAACAATTTTAACACCAGGCTAATTTTCTGGAGGCCGTGGGATTGATTTTCCACCCGAATCACTTGCAAGATTTTTTTCTTTTTAGACAGCAGCTTAGCTCAGTCAGCTAAACTGATGGTAGCCACTGTGTGTGCACTGAACCATGGAGATCTCTTGTCCCCAGTTTAATTCCCATCACTGCTCTCCTTCTATTCCAGCTGGAGAGCCGATATGTACGCTACTATAGTGCACCATCGGATGAGACGTTTAAACCGTTGGTCCTGCGTGCATTATGGCTAATGTGCACTTTAAAGATCACAGTACACTCTTCTAAAGAGTAGGGGATTGTTTCCTGATGTACTGTCCAATTCACCACCAAAAGACCCCACTGGAAACAGAATTAGTGGGTTAACCTTGGTGTGATTCACACCAAAAAATACCTGGGAACATACTGAGTATTCAGTAAGATAACATGTCAGGTGTAGGGCAAAACATCATTTCTATTAAATCACCTGACAAAAACACCACTTAAAATACCTATAAAAATGTCAATGAAGATGTGCAAGCAACTGTATATGCACTGAACCATGGAAATCATTAGGTCCCGGATTAAATGCCATTGCATTTTAGCTGGAGGGCTGAATTACTACTGCAGTGTACCTTCTTTGTGTAGAGACCCATAAGCCATCAATTCCGTGCACAGTACGGCCTAGTGTGTCTTCTTAACACTGTCGATTTATTATTCAACACTAACCTTGTGGAGGCTAACTTATAAGCATGGATAGTAACATTCTTTAACAGGAGTGGCACCAGGAATTTTGCAACAGGATTGTGTAAGTGGGCCTGGTCAAGGTTGCTCAGAACCACTGGAAGGGGATAGCTTTAACAACTTAGGAATTTGAAAGACTTAGTTAATTCCACGTCCTATAGAAACTACAAAGATCTTTTATCGGGGCTCCAGTTCTCCCTACAAAAAAACAAAATTACTTGAAAATATATTTCATTCATTTAACATTAATTTAAACTTTCTCTGTATTTGAATAATAACTGTACATCAAAATCGTTTTTTGCAACATTTGGCCATAATTCTATCAGATTTAGTATTATGTATTATGTTACAATCAAAGTTATCGTGTATTAAACATCTTTTTGCAGTTGCACCTACATTTCAGTGATTTCACTTTTCAGGCCTACTGAGACTGTTTATGTAAACAACTAAATTTATACATAAATAATAATTTGATATAAAGATTTACATAAGTACATACAGTATTCACTTCTTGACAACTACACCATATATTTGATTATATAGCATGCCCTCTGTTGATTATGATTTTGCCCTCTGTTGATTATGATTTTCCCCTCCTGTACAGTACTGTAAAGTAGACAGTTGCAGATGAATAATATTTGAACATAACAGTTTCTATGATAAATTGGCCAAGCATCAACATTTAAATGCAAAACTATTTTTGAATAGTATTTGCATGATATTAAAACATTTTATGAAATAATATGTGCACAAAGTGTTCAACTTTAAATTTAATTAATCAAAAGCTATTAACATCAAAGCACAGTACAAGATGCAGTCAGGTAAAATTCCAAGCTACTAACACAACTTAAACTGGTCATCATAATTTACAAGAGAATACAAAACAAGCTGTGCATCTCCAGCCCAATCTTTCTTTCATGCCTGCCACAATAATCGGGCAATAATCATGAATAAAAAATCATAATTTAACAATAATGTACAATGCTTTGTAATTACAGCCAGGCATGCAGAATAATACAGATAATAATGATAACAATAATAATCATAGAAATAATAGAAATTTATATAGTGCCATCTGCTAACTAAATCTGAAGCAAACATGTTAACAGAAGGAAAAAATGAAAAATATTCATATCCTGAATATATGTCAATAACAGAATGAAACTAAATGAGCCAATTGAATTGACTCTTATACAGTAGGTAATATACCTTAAACAGCCCTCAAAACCTAGGTTTTTCCCCACCTATGAATTTTGTTGTTTTTTGCCAAACTTGGGGGAAAAACCTGTTGGACATTTTGAGCAAATCAGAAATGACTCATAGCAGCTCTACACTCATGGCAGAAATTTTGAACATTTAAAAAAAATAGGCAGTGAGTTGACAACTCATAGTAGAATCAGAAAACTTGTAGTGGAGTATTCAGGGTAATTGGTGGCAGTTTTCTATTCGCATTGTGTACAAGTCTAAAAACATGTCTAAATAAATAACACACCTAGCTTGCAATACTTCATATAATTTGTATACAAACAAGCTCTTACTAAATTTGAAAAGCTTGTAGTAAGCTCCTAATAGACTTGACAATTCATACTTATTGGTTGTATTTGACTGGTTTGATAAATCACGCCCACCTGCGCAGGGGTAAAATCCTCCTTAACAAAGACAACCAGTCGAATAGAAAACTGGTAAATACTCGACAAAACAAAATGGCTGCATAGTTTTCGTCATACACACGCTGCATAATCAAAGGCTGCTTTGGCTTGTGGCATTATGAGTTTTTCGTAAAAAAATAATGTTTTCATCCAGTTTTTGAATTCTGTTACCCTACAATTATATTTTGACTTCATGTGGGTAAAAGTTACATTATAATTTTTATTTTCTGAAATGTAATCAAAATTATATTAACAAATTGTTGTTGCTAAACTGACCAATCGGCCATATTTGTTTTGGTCACATGGATAACTTAACACTGAGAAACGCACTCTAGTTTACGTTAACTTTCGTTGTCAATGAAGTCTATTTTACGAAACCAGTCAAATGAAAATAATACTCAACGAAAAATCGTAGTCAACGAAATGAACCAGTCCAATAAGCCCATTGACTCATGTCTAATTTGTAAACTCAGTAACTACTACTAAGGTAGACACTCACTGCATAAAATAGTCGTCGACCGAAGTAATTCCATGGAGAACACAACGTCCAAAACACACGCAGATCGTTTTTAATGACGATCTGTTCAGACTGCCACCAACAATAAGCAGAGAGACGCGTCATCTAGCAGTCACAGGGTGTAGAGTTGGATTCGTTTAGATCACACGTTTTAGCTTGTAGCAACTTTTGCAACTCCTCAAACATACCACCCTGAGCGAGAGCTGCTTTATAGTCATCTGCACCCCAAAAGATATCCCATTACAGATAGCTGTACCACACCCCTAACAAAGTCAGGAACGTCTACCACAAAACAAACTACCCTAATGACATCGCTATAGCTACCTGATTGGTTGACATACTTTTATACAGGCTTATCATCAGTGTTTTCAACTATTGTACCCATTTACACTTGGACATATGCCAGGTTCATACATATATAAACTGTCTGTCCTTTATGGTTGGAATGTTCAGGGGAAAAAAAAGAAAAATTAAGAAAATTAATGTAAAGGATTACACCTGCACTGATGTAAAACATTCCATCATAAATAAAAAATTAGTTTGAAGTTGAAAGGTCCTGCTTAGCTGGTTCTTTAATTTCCCCACACATCTGTAAAAAAGTCACAAAACACTAAAGTTAAATTTAACATAAATTTAATCTTATTGTACAGTGTGAATTATATACAATGTGAGTTATATACAATGTGAATTATTAATATCACCTGTGTATTTTGTACTTGTAAGAACTTGCTTGTCTTTAATGTGATAAAGTAATGTTTGTATATCTCAAAATATTTAATATAAAAAAGAGCAGTCATTATATAAAATAACAAATATCAATTTAGTGGATGTAAAAAAACAATTTTTTTTAATGAATCGTATTTTGTTCATTCCTAAAATTAATGTAGTGCAAATAAGCAATAAAATTAACAGTTGTGATATCCTCGTGAATTATTAATCAACAAATTGAATGTTCATCTGTGATTTACCTCATTTTGACCTTTGCTTTCAGTGTTTTCTTCTGACACCTGGGGGCAGCAAACATAATTCTAATGAATGTTAAAGTGTGTAGAAAGCATCTCATATCAAAATCACAGAAGAAATACTAAATTATTTATTATTACAAGTGCATATACATTAAAAAAAATACTGGCTGTGATGAACCAATAATAATTTAGCAATAAAACAAATTAATATTTGAATTGTTTGGGCAGGTGCTTTTCTGCTGTTTACCTTGTATATATATACAAGTTATTAGTTTCAATTGAAAATTCAACTCCTAAATTATTTTCCTTGTCAGTCAGTTAAAACATAAATAATAGCATTGTGTAAAGCCCATTGGCTGACAGAAAATTAAATGATTTTTGTAGTAAAATGTCTGCATTATCAGCACAACCTTGGCAGTGATTTTTTTATTTAAATGGTAATCAGATTAACCATCTGTATCAATATTGTAACACTAAGTTTTTTTTTTTACATTCAGTAGCTAGTACTGTAAACTCATTATAATATAAGTGAAATGCTTTTCATAATTAGATTCTGAAGGCAAAGATAAATGAAATATTCATCATCACCATCAATGATGCTGATCCTTATCTCCCAATGTCACACTTGTTACTACCGCTTATTCAAAATTTCTGTCTTTGCAGAGTATTTGGGTTTAATGTACTATCTGTTTTAATCTAATATAAATATTTATAGATACCATTGGTGATTAGCCTAAAACAATTGTGATCAATATTTGAATTGCTTGTATTGTAAGGTAAAGGTATACTGTATTTAGTCTGTCTCTTATACACATCTAGATGTGTATAAGAGACAGGAGTAATGGGGGGGGGGGGGGTGCGCCCCTGCACCCTCCTCTAGATACACCACTGCTTTTGCCTATCCAGTAATGAAGCGGGTAAACATTTGTACTCCTGGGTGGAGAGAGACTAAAGTAGGTAAAATGGCTTGTCCAAGCACACAAGCGAAATGCACAGCGATGGTTCAAGCCCCCAACCTTGAGAGACCGAAATGCAAACGCTTCACCAACTGCTCCCACTCGATTGAATAATATATTTAAATAAATAATTATTTTCAATTGAAATGAAAACTATACAAAATATAATGCAATACATCATGACATGATACAATACAACATTCCAATATCATATCATATATAATTAAACATAAAATATTTATAATGATAAATTATTCTTCACTAACCTGTTCCACTTGTTTGTTTTCTTCATTCTCTGAACTTAAAACTTCTTTGCTGTCTGTATTCTTACACTCTTCACAATTCTGTAGAGAAATAGTTACATAAATGATATTGAATTATTTTATTATATTTTTTAACTCTCTTATTTTCAAATGAAAGTTTATCAGTATCAATTACTATGAAGGAGTACTGTACAATTATGGTAACTACCTGTTCAGGTATGATACAATACAGTTTTTTTTTGCACTTGAAAATACTGGTTAAACCATCAGAAATTAAATTTATTCATAATCACAAATAATCATTAGTATTATAATTAATTAATAAGTATTAATATTTTATGATTACACATTGAAATATTTTATAACACATATAGCAATACAGTATATGTCAAATACAAGCAGTAGCCTTACTCTGAAAACACGGTAGTGTGAAATAGTCTTGACATGCTCCTCAACTTCAGATTTCCATCTTAATAAAACCCCACAAAGATGACAATGAAAAGCTTTCACTTCTTGGATGTAGTCCTCCCCTACACATTAAAAAGAATCTGTAAAATATAGTCTCTGGCAACACTGTGACATGTCAACCATTAAATAAATCATATTCTACTGTATATTACATTTTTATCATCATCACTATCTTTATGATTGTGCATCTTTCTCATTAAAAATGATACACAAATGTGTATAAAATGACCAGTAGAATATGTGTTTAGCTTTACATGTGTCACCTGGGTGAAGAGGAACAACATAATTTGCCTTGCCAATGACACAAGTTGCTCAGCGAGGGATCAAACCCCCAGCCTGAAATAACTGTATCACAACCGCTCACAAAATGCCCCTACATAATCATGGATGTAATGCCTCAACATGTCTTAATTAAGTTTCAAGAAGTGGCATAGTATTGAAATGAGAAGCTTACCATATTTCTTTTCCGGATCGTAACCAAGTGGAAGTGAAGACTCCGTCTCATCATCTGTTAAAAATTTGAAACAGTTGCATTTGTAAATTACATTTATATGTCATAGCTTACTGTAAATGGTAATATATTTTTACAATAAAATTGAACATGAATAATGGTTGTTTTTCTTTGTTTTTGTTTATTCTTATATTTCCAGATGACAATAGCAATAACAATAATAATAATAACAATAATATCAATAATAATAATAATAATAATAATAATAATATTAATAAAAATTGACGATGGCAGCGGTGGCGAGAATGACAAAGATGATATTAGTACTTGGTGATAAGAAGTGCACTCCCTTTATTTGCACATTTACTATATTTAGTTTTATATTGATGAACATTCCTATAAATAGTCATTGACATTGATAATCATAATGGTAAAATCGATTTCAATAGAAAGATCAAAAAGTGAAAACATTTTTTTAATCTGTGGTTCAATAAAAGTTTTCATATTATAATTGTTTCATATTAAAATATTACCATGGAATGGACTTCAGAAAAAATCCTTAAAAATTCAAGGAAAAACTGAAATGCTCATTAGTAAAATATTTACTTCAATTAATTGAGACCCAGATCAGAAGAACCTTTGTCACAGATTTAAAAACATTTTAATCTGCAAAGGAATATAGCAACGGTATTACATTTAAGAATCCAATATAGTGAAGAATTTTATCTCATTCTAATTTTTCTATTACTGTACCTCTGAAATATTGTAATCAATGACTAGGTTTGAGATGTTTTGAATTTATTTTATTTTTGATTGAAATATATTTTGAAGTTGAAATGTACAGTAGTTTAAGGTTTTTATAGCATATTTTATAATTAGGTTGTCTCCTCCTAATTATTAATTTTGTGCTTATCTCAAATTATTATTCAAAATCAATTATTTAATCAATTTGTATATAGTATAATAATATTTTCCAAATTTTTATTTTTGTATTGTATTTTTGTATTCTTATGTAAAGCGCCTTTGAACATGTGAATAATGGCGCTATATAAAATTTGGTAATTAAATACAGCAAATAGCCTAGTACTTTTAAAATTATAGAAACCAATTGAAATACTGTATTTCGTTTCACTTTCAATGTTTCCGAGCTTAAAACCAGTATTTGCCAAACCAGTTTTTTATTTCTATTTACTTTTGCTAATCTAATTTTCTCACCTTCTTTTGATCCAGTACTTTCTTGATTCTGTTGCGTATCATCATTTTTTGATGGGTCTTTTTCCTCATTTTTATTTTCTCCAGTTTTTAATTTATCTGACATAGGATGTTTCATTGCATTGTAGATTTGAGAAGTCAAAGATTTGGGAGGAGGTGCATAAACTCGAGGTCGTTTATTCTTCTCACCTTTCATCATCATCTCAATCTTCTATTATGAATTATGAGGAAATACGTTTTTGAACCACAGACGGCAGCCTAATATTCATCCGCGTTACCGGATCTCTAAAATTTCGTCTGCTATTAAAGTTATCCCTTTTCATTGGTTAGTTTGATAGTCGTGGCTTGCCAGTCGTCTTCAGTTGAACTAAAACTAGGACTTGATTTAGTCGCAGTTAAAACTTCGACTACATTGTTTGTGAATACAAATTGAAGTTAAAGATACAACTAGCACTAAATGAAGTTCTAGTTCGAAGTTCGACTAAAGTTTGTTTTAAGAATACGGGCGTCAATGTTTCCAAGCTTAAAACCAGTATTTGCCAAACCAGTTTTTTATTTCTATTTACTTTTGCTAATCTAATTTTCTCACCTTCTTTTGATCCAGTACTTTCTTGATTCTGTTGCGTATCATCATTTTTTGATGGGTCTTTTTCCTCATTTTTATTTTCTCCAGTTTTTAATTTATCTGACATAGGATGTTTCATTGCATTGTAGATTTGAGAAGTCAAAGATTTGGGAGGAGGTGCATAAACTCGAGGTCGTTTATTCTTCTCACCTTTCATCATCATCTCAATCTGCTGTTGTACTACAGCTGCGGGATTGGAGGGTCCTAGAGGGCGCACATGGAATGGTGATTTATCCATTCCAGGATTGCTGCCATCATATCGATTTGATCTAAAAGCATCACGAGGATGTCTACCTGGACTAAATCCATGTCCTCCGTCAGGTCGCCTGGGATGAAAATTATCCCCAACGCCATCATTAAATTTACGTTTATTCCAGTAACCATCGTCTTTATTATGGTAATCCCTCCTCTGATGACGATTATCGAAATATGAATGTCCATTCTTTCCCCTTCCTCTACCACCCCTTCCCCTCCATGACCCTTCCCAGCGTCTGCTCCTATCATATTCCATGTCCGGCAGCATTTTGTCAAACTTGGGTTGCTGTGAAAAGTTTTCTGCACATTCTTTTAATACAGCTTCAGCCACACTTTGTGCAACTAACTTTTGTAAGTTCTCCAATTGAGCATTTTGAGCATTGTCATTTGCATAACTTCCAACACCATCGGCAGAAGAATAATTAGCAGTTGCTTCCTGCACTTTATTATGTTCAACCCCACTTGGTACAGCTGAATAATAACCATACGAAGATGCGTAATAATCACTTCCCTCCTTGTTTGCCTCTTTATAGCTATTTGTCGTTGTAACTGTTGAAGTTAGGGGCACCTGAGAGTAGCTTGGTTGGTAGGCTGAGTAGTTTACTTGATATGTTTCTTGTTCGGCTGTTGTAGTACTAGTGCTGTACGTGGATGCCTGTCCCTGGGTCTGTTGGGCTTGAGCGGCTTGTGCATGTTGAGCGTACTGACAATAGTAGCGCCACCACTCTACAGCATGAATCAAGACATGAAAATAATCATGTTTAATAAAATTTTAAAAATTAAATTTAAGATATTATTTAATTACTATTTAAGCATGTTATCAGTAAATGTTTTGGAATTAATAATATACAAATTTTAAAAAAATTATGTTTGGGAGGATTAAACTAAATTATTAAATTAGAAATAGGCATTTGAAATATACAGTATATTTGATTAATCGATAACATATTTTTCATATAAGTATATAAAGAATATATTTGTTAAACATTGGTTTAATCATTTACAACAAATGGAATCCTCTTGAGCATGTTTATTATGTTAATAATAGTATTGAAAAATATATAATTAATAAAATGTTCAACAATATTAACGGAATGCAAAAATTAAATGCTTATTTATGGTTAAATAAAAACCTAGGCCTATCAAACAATTTCTACGTACGAGAATATTAAATACATGAATCCATTAAAAAGTATTTTAAATATAAATCATTTTTAAAGATGATCATTATAACAAATTAATAAATTATTATACATGAAAAAAAACATTAATTAAACAAATCCTTATGTTGAAATAATCAAACTACCGGTAATAATTAGACCTAGGCCTTATTCTGGGATAACGTATTGCTCTTGGCATTGGTTTTGATCTACTGCCCTTGTATATATATTGCCATTTTATTTAGTACTGTGTGAGTGGTCATGAATTGGTGTCAAGGACTAGGCCTAGGCATATTTAGTTATTTATTTAGGCCTACTAGGTACTACTATCTACTAGGCCTATTGTGAATACAAAATAACATTCAATTCATGGATAAAGATACAATAAAGTACAAAAAAGGCAAACCTATTCTGTGAGTATTTCCATCATTGTGGTATAAAAATATTAAATATGCAATACAAAATAAGAAATCAATCAAACATTATACAATAATGAACTAGCCTATTACTTCTATACATACATTACTAGGCTTAGGCCTAGGTCTATGCCCTTTGTCCTACGCCCCTAGGCCTAGATCTAGCAACCACTCACTGAACCAGGCTAGCCCTAGCCTAGGCTGGTGGTGGTGTAGTGTAACACTAAACTGTAAACAGTGCCTCGCTAGGCTAGGCTACAGTATGACTAGGGTAGGCCCTAATAATCCAGAATGGCACGCAAGAATAGTAGTAATCTCATTAGTTATTTCAAATTAATAATTAACAAACAGTGTTATTCTGCATAAAATGCGTAATGTTGCAATAGCTTACCGGCATAACTAGACGAATTAACCTGCCCACTGTCCTGTTCGGCCATGTTCTCCGCAGCTTCGGACGAAAACGGGGAAAAAAAGCTGGTTTGCAGCTTTGCAGTGTCTCCTATGGAACGCCGTTTGTGCTCTCAAACCAGTAACATCTGACATTTCTTCATACTAAAGCTTGGTTTCCATCCAATCACTACACGCTATCGCCAACAGCTTTCGGTGATGCTGATTGGTCGGTCGAATCGGGGAGCCTTCCCGATTGCGTCGGGCACTGCTACGCAGTATAACAATTGCACTGAAAACAGTGTAGCGGTTTTAAGGAAAACAGGCTTAACGTCCGCACAAAAAATCTCACTACCAAAAATTAGCATGGCGGCAACTTTCTAATAAGTTTCACATAGAGCAATGTGACGTGCGCCGAGTGGATAGCTTAAAATCTCTAGATCTCATCCCAGGATAATCTGATTTCTTGGGATAACATTGTTACGTCTATAATAATCTTGTTATTTCAATTCAATTCAATTCAATTCAATTCAATACTTTTTCAAAACCATCAAAACTATCAGGTAAAAAACAATTACATCTCGTGGCCATTTACCAAATTGCGTGTAATTTTACAAACACAAGTAAAAAGACAAAAGTGAGGAAAAAAAAAAGAAAACTCTACGATAGTCATCACCGGAGCAGACGGATAAAATATGGTATGGGGCTATTGGCGTATCTAACAGTTTTAATTGGTAACTGGCATATTATTACAATTCCGCAGCGCTCTCCCATGACATTCAAAACGTGTCGCCCGGCATGCAGAAGATCATCAGAATGAGTAGTCAAGGGCAAACTCAATACAATGTTCTACTCCCCTAACAGAAAGGCGTGGGAGATTACAACTAATTAACGCTTCGTCATAAGATTTAAAGTCCCTATTCAAAATAGTGCGACAAGCCTTAGGTTGCACAGATTCAATGGAGTTATTTTGACTTTAGGTTAATGCAGGGTGCCACACTACATCTGCATATTCCAGTAAGGGTCTAATATACCCACAAAAAACAGAGATCAACTCGTGACTGTTGAAACCAAATTTTGTAGACTCCTTAAAAGAAAAAGTTTCTTATTGGCCTTAGCAAGGATATCCTTAAGGTGGTTGTCCCACTTTAAATCGTTGCTTTTTTTTTTCTTGTTTTTTTTTTTTTTTTTTAATAATAATTAATGCTATTCGGGGTATGTACCATCATGGTACCATTTAATGGTTTGTTAACAAAAGTATCCAAAATCCAAACCCAAAAATCAACAGAGGCTAATGCTAATTATAGTTTTGCCAGAGGTGGCTTCTTGCCTTTCCCACTGGCTCTGTGTCAACTCAACTCAATAGTCGACTCAACTAGTCTCTAGGGGATCCCTGTAGTGTACAGTACTACTTTTATTTCAACACCTGATATATATTTTATCAGGTCACGTGGGATTCATTTAAAATTACTATCCCATAGTTTTTGAGTGAGTCAACGATCTCTGAATATTCAGCTCTCAAACAAACAAAATTCTCGAGTGCGACGCAAGAAAGAAAATCAGTATGTTTGTCTATAGGGCCTAGTTTAGCGAGGTAAAGAACCTGAAGTTTCCTATGCCTAAGCCTAGCTCTCAGACATTTATATACTGTATATACATTTGTTTAGATGCAGTAGTTCAAGGTGTGTTTTATAAAACATTTTATATACAACAGTAGGTCACGGTGTGTTTTATAAAACACACCGCGACCCACTGTATATAAATGCGTTTTATAAAATACACCGTGACCTACTGTATATAAAACCAATTATATACAGTAAATTTTATAAAACATGTAATCAACATTCAATTTTTCACCTCATTAAAGAATCTACTCCACTGTACCAGGGAACAGTGAAATGTTCCCTGACTGTACCGTACTCATATAAACATTCATTATGTAAATGCAAATAAACACTGTTAACGCACTAATGGCGTTCCATAGTAACCAGGTACAATGGGGATTTAAAAAGCAGGCAACATTTATCCTTGATTTAATTAATGACAAAATTATAACTAATTGTAAGTTAAACACTGACTTTACTAAAATTATATATCAAAGCAGGTTTTTCGTTCAATAATTCGTCATAATATATCTGGTTAAAATTCCCCTTATTTTGGACAACCACTCAATTTTCTCTTCTTGAGGAAATAATTTACTTGAATAGCGCCCTCTATTTCGGATCTTGAAAAAAAGTTGGCAAGCGAGATCGTGGAAATTTTAGCTCGAGTCTTATCGATATCATAGGCGAGGCTTCGTTATTTCTTAAACTGTAATATGATTATGTGATATCTGACAGTAGAGTCAACATAACGTAATTCGAACCTGAATGAATACAACTTAATTAATGATCTTCTGCCTGCCTAGGTAGGCCTGGCCGGTCTTTTTTTTCTAGCCTGGGAACTGAGTTCATTTAGGCCCTAGGCCTAGGAGTAGGAGGATTTTTCGTCAGCGGTGGTATAGGCCTAGATGAAGGCGAACCTAGGCCTAGGTGTGGGTCTAGTCTACCGAGTTCATAATAACCAACAAGCCTAGCCTAGGCCTGAGTCTAGAGAACTTGGTAGTCCGTGCTGATTGGACAACTTCCAACGTAGACAGGCTTGAGTGAATTGAACGAAGGACCTCAGTCAGTATGTTTTTCACAATGAAAGAACTCATCCAGTGGCTTGGACTGACCAAGTTGGAGATGTGGATTAATGTAATCTCAATGTTCATCTTTTCAATTATGCTTATGCTCAAACTTGAAGTGATATGGGACATATCCTGGTGGAACGTATTCATCCCGTTATTTACAAGTGATGGACTCAATGCTTACTTTAATATGATTGTTTTTCTTCGTATTTGTATTGATCGGGACGTAAAAGTTGCAGGAATGAGAGCACTTTGGAGCGGCTTCACTCTTATACTTATTTTTATCTTTAAACTATTACTCTGCAAAAGTCTCAATGGAGAACTGATATCTGTGTTTGCAATTATGTCACCGTTGTTCATGCTACAGGTGATACTGATCTTCCGGGGTTGTTCATTTTGCTGAAAATCATGGATTTTAATTGTATACAAAGAACTAGAAATGCAATTTTTATGGATCAAGATTTGAATAGAAGACCCGGTCGCTTTTGTTGCTCTTCTTGTAGATATACCACTACTGTGGTAATCCAGAATATTTTTAATTTGGGGGGGGGGGGGCAC